CGAAAAATATTCATAACAAATTGTTGCAAATACATACAAGCGTGGAACTAGGATAGATAGATCTGTAGAAATTTATGCCACGAAATCAAACTCATAACCAGGTCCATGACCCCACGGCATGGAATAGAAAGAAGAACTAGTAACAAAAAACTAATAGTGTCTAACTAGCGTCAACAATGGAGTAAATCACGTCTATCTAATTTAGAACTTAATAGAAATGAATAAAAGCATATATCATGTCATACAGATCTTCTATGTGAATTGGTGACTTCATTGCTGATAATGGGATCCAAATGGGAGAAAAGTCCAAACTGGGTTGGCTAATTGGGTTGGCCGAACATGCCATATGGGCCGCTTCCTTGTATTTCCTATACCTGATGTGGCTTTCAATATCCAAAATCTCAGCTTCATCCCAGCCTACGTCGTGTTTTTATTAGTTATCTTAAAAACCAGGACGATGGATAAAGTCCAGAAACCCAATATATCAGTGTGAACCATGTCTGTTCAACCAAGGGTTGGGCACTTTCACGCTGAACATTAAGGGTACATCCTCCTTTAAAGGAAAATGTGTTCTTTCAAGAATAAAAGCATAGTGGGCTTCACCATGATGATTCACTATCATTTATGGTCCAGTTAAGTAACTGTCTACAATTCCAGCCCAAATACTGATGGTGAATCTTTTTCCAAATGAAGAATGCTGAGAAACATAGGAATCTCCAGTGACCATTCATGTAGGTTGTGAAGACTGTTTATTCAGTTCCTTGCGAATGGCGCCTCATCAGTCCACAATGCACCCCACAAAAATCAGTTCATCTACGGTCTACAAGCTACTGACAGTCCCATGCCTTTAGCCCATGTGCAGCTAAGGCAAAGCTATCACTGTAACAGCATGTGAAGACCCATAGGGTTGTGAGAGGTTGAGACTTCTACATCTTCTAGACAATCGGCTCATAGATGGTGGTAAGACTGTCAGCCTTATGCGCCCGCCTTTTATCCCCAAGGAATATTCCTGGTACTCATTTCTGTTAGAGGCTGAGTCAAACCCAGGGCCATAGTGTGGCTGGAAGGATTAGGTAAATTGGGGGGGGGATAATAATAATAATACCTCACTGGGACTTGAATCAGCGACCTTCTGGCTTGTAGCATAGTGCCTCAACCAACTATGCTAACACGGACCCCAAGCCCTTGGACAGGTTTTACGTGAGGACAGGACTGCTCCTCATGCAGTGTGCACTGAACTCTATTTTGAGAGGGGTCTGTTTCACATGCAATCCTATGTGTCTATGGATTAGCATGTACATGATTTAACACTTAATTCTGAATACCGCATTTGGCATAGCAAGTGGCATAAATATACCCATTTCTTTCAGACAGCTGTGCACTGTCGCAAACAGGTCTGTTGGGGTGTAGCCAGTCTGAAAATTGATGTGGGTACTCCCTTGACGCACCTCTAGCATATCCCTCATAAAAAAGCAGCAGATGAAATGCACATCAACTTACTCTAATTAGTAAACAGTGGTGTCTTGTTTAACTGTTATTGCTTTGTGCTGGCTATAAACAAATGCAGCTCTGACTTGTGATATTATGATAGCTCCACAACACAAATACATAAAAATAAATCATGTCATCATGTAGTAACAAGACACGATTATACAGTACTGTAATAAACAACATTGGGTACAACAATATTTGTACATTTACAGATATTGGTTCACAAAGAGGATGAGCCCAGAAAACATTACTTCCTGACATGGCATATATTTGTTAGGTCTGCAAGGAAGGAGCAAGGAAGAAATAAATTAATTTCCATAAGTGACCACAAATTCCAGGTCATTAAGTATATATTTCTGTAAACTATGTACAAACACAGTAAGAACAGCCGAATTTTGACATTATTCTCTCAACACTCACCAAAAGCTTTTGGTTCACAAACAGAACACTGAAATATGAAACCCACTTTTTGTGTGGGTTATTCAATGACCTTTCCAGTATCAGGACTACACACTATCAGATGGTAGGATGACTAACCCTTCAAAACACAGCAGTCACTATATATACCACATCCTTTAACATATGAAAACTTTGCATTCTGCCCACAGAGTGCATCTGAGTGTTCCATATAGTTCTCACAATAAACAGTAACCGTTTCCCTACACAACATTAACTGGTTGGGCATTTTACCAGAGATATAATGTGTTTCCTGTGAAGTATGAACTGGTTTCTTATATCTTATTTAGAAGGAATTCAGTCTTTACACGGTTACTGAACTGGAAAGCATCTGGTAGTAATAACCTACTCAAAATTTTATCCTGTCATTCCCCTTGAGGAGCTGAGGAAAACACAAAAATCCTCTTTCAGGATAGTGGGTATCCTGGCCAATATACTGTAAATACAGGAAAAAAGTCCTCTGCAGGAAGAATAACGAAAGGCAAAAGCTGTAACTTTTGGTCTTTTGATATTGGGTTTTCGGACTTTATCCATCATCCTGGTTTTAAAATAACTAAGAAAAACACGACGTTTTGGAAACTGGATCTGTTTCCGTCCTCAGGTGAGGGAAAACACCTCTTCTGTTGGGTCCCTTAGAAAGAGCTAGCCTCAATCATTCTAAGGGATCCAACAGAATAGGTGTTTTCCCTCACCTGAGGACGGAAACAGATCCAGTTTCCGAAACGTCGTGTTTTTCTTAGTTATCTTAAAACCAGGACGATGGATAAAGTCCGAAAACCCAATATCTCTGTGTTCTACACCATTGTCAGAATCCTATATTAACTATTTTGGTCTTTTAACCAATTAAATAACATCTACCTTGGTGAATAATTAAAATATGGTCTTTTCCCAAGAAATGCCTTAATTTTAAAAATAAGAATGTCATACTGACTCCTTTATGATCTGGGTGGCCATTGTCAGGGAGTATTTTCTTTCATTTTTAAAAAAATGACAGACACAGCAATGAAGGAAGACAGGAGTAATTTTTTTGAGGGATACTGGTAAGATCAACGTATAACAAATAAATTCCACAGAACAGAAAACAATATGCATTGATAACTTATAAATATTGATTTGCTTTCTCTCCTTAGAAAGGAAAATGACTGTGATCCCCTTCCAACTGAAGTCTGCGCATATTACAACCATTTGAAACCTGGTGATGNATAAGATTTTAAATTTCCACAGCAAATAATGCACAAAAATATACTCCGGAAATCAGTCATGTCATAGTCAAAAACAACATTCTGGAGACTGGCTCTGTCTCCATCATCATGGCTCCTGTGGGGAGCAACTCCAATTCACTGATATATCAGCCATTAATGTAATGCCTCTTCCTTACTGATGTGCTGAATGAAAGTTGCCAGAGTCAAATTGAGCAGTCACTGTTCCAATTTCAGATCATAGACCCTTAATCGGGAAAATTAGAACCCTTCAGTAAGACTGTCTCCACTGATGTGCATTACAGACAGGATAAACACATCAAAGATGACAGGCAGGCCTACTGAGAGGCCACAATTTTCCAGGTTAGGCACTGAGGTACCAGCTCTAAAGCTGAAATGTAGACTCTCCATTTCCCAGCACACCAATAAAACAAAGGCACTGAAATCTCTCTTTCTTGCAAGTATGCACACATGCGCACACACAAACACACACAATATGAGCAACTTACAGTTGCTTCCCACACCAATTTTGACAATGGAGATGGTAAGTCTCCAAAACGTTTGTTCTAGACTCAACACTGATAGAGCTGACAGCCTCAGATTTCAGAACAAAACTGTAATTCAGTTTGCTGCCCAAATATAGGATATTCTAGTACAGAGATTTTACAACTGCAGTACATGAACAGCAGAACAATGAAACATTTCTGAATTGGATGAATACACATATTACTACTACAGAACGTTTTGTTACAGCTGCAGCCACAGCCAAGACTCAGCATATCCAGATAACGGTGTTGCTGGCATGGAGGAACGAACAACAGGCCTGCTCTAACACAATACAGAACACACCTTTAGGCTGCCTATACACGTACGAGTCTGGCTTGCGAGTCCGGCTTGGTGAGGAGTCGGGCTTGGATTAATTTCGCCACACATGTGTGAGTGTGGCAACCCACACATGGACGAGTTCGGCTCATTGGAACCCGAGCCGAGTCGGACTCATGAGCCAGACTCATACGTATATGGGCCCCCTTAGGGAGTCTTTGCTCCACTCTGACAAAATGTTCTACAAGGCACAACAAATGTGAATATTGTGCTCACTGACACAATGAGAGTTGTTTAGACACCAAACACTACCTCTGACATAACAATTTTGGCAGTTTGTCTTTACTTTCAGGAATTCCACATAGAAAACAAAATAACCTCTTTGTCATTGTCTCGGAAAGCTTGAGGGAACCAAATTCCAAAGGTCTTCATATGCAAAGTTGTCTTCAGAATCTGCATCCACAGCACATGAATGAGTACTAATGCTTCCCAGGGCCGCGCTGTAGCTCAAGTGGTTAGTAGCTGGTTTCCCACCATGGGGGCCCGTGTTCAATCCCGGGTCTGGTCAAGTGCGATTTTTGGTGGACAAAGTGGTGCTGGGGTGGGTTTTCTCCGAGTACTTCAGTTTCCCCTGCCAATTTTCATAATCACCCGGGGCAGGCTACAATAGGCCAATCAGTGGCCACCGTGCCGAGTTGACCCAGTTGGACTCCACCCCCCACTAAGTGAAAAAGCGCAAATGCTTCCCATATTTGGTTCTATACAGTTGTATCCTGTTGTGTAGCAATTACTGATGCAAGTATAAGTCATGCAGACAACACAGAAATTTTTACTACTCTCTTTAGGACTCTGTGTTTTGACAACAGAATATCAACTGTCTGAAGGTGATGTATTACTATATATACATATACATACCGAAGGTGTACTATCAGGTATGCATGCATATTAAGCTAATATCTATCGACTGTCACACTTGTTTTGAAAGGTCAATTCCTCTTTTCTGATGACACTATTTTCCACATTAACTGCGAGGCTGATATTTCATGGCTGGCTTTGGATGCAGAAGCTACAAGGTGACATAATCATGTACAGTATTTGACTTTCAACACTCTTTGCTTCTTAACCTGGGCATAAAGGTCCCTGCTGACAGGATACAGCAGTAACTTAAAAATAAAGGCAGGTTTAAATGCCAGTTTGTGGTGAATAGTATATTATGAGAACAATTTACTGACCTGCATAAAATGAAAGGATCGAATGGAAAAAATGTATCAAGTAAGGTTGATTCCCTGGTGACAGCACATCCCTTGTCTTGATGTATCACTGGCATGCTGTAGCGAGCATTGTGTTGCAGGACAGAGTAACAGTATGCCAGTTGATATGTTCGAGTCACAGCAGCAAAATTTTGAGCCACAACCGGCAAACAAACTTTCAACGGATTCAGCCTGCAGGTCACCATTTTCGTCAGGTTTAAGCTCTGCAGAAATGTGAGATCTGGGGAGAAAACACATGCTCTCACATTTCTCAATGTTTCATTTTAATGCCATTCCCATATATAAGCACATATTTTACACCTGGTCTCAACCCATTTTAGATTTTTTCAGCCAACACTCTGCACAATATTCTGTCCCCCCCTCCCCAAGGCTCTATTTATCCTCTTCTTCTTCAATTAATCATCATAGGAAAATGGTTTGTGTGAAATGTTCAAACATTTCTCATTTTATATTACAACTTGATATCAATTCACATTTTAACAGAACTTACCAAAAACTGAAAATTAATTATAAACTTAAATACCTTGCATGAACAACAAACCACAAGAAGTCCTGGGAATAAATCTGCATGACTACCTTCCTTCAAATGCTTCATAGCAATAGAAATAGCAATAGCAACAGCTAGACCAGGAATCATTATATATTAATTATAAAACTGTAATAAATTTCTGTGCGTAATTTCCACCAGTACAGATTTGCGAGTATTTTAATGATGCTGATAATTAGCAACTACTGAATGAATGATATGGCAGAAAGTGGTCATGGTCAAACACATGGTATTATCCTTGCATCTGACTGAAGGGACTGAGAAACCCAGCAGAGATTCAAACTGAGCACCTCCAAAATACAAGCCAGAAGCATTATTGTTTGAGCCAACTTCTTCAGCTGGAAACTGCATAATGAAGAACTCTGTGATTTATAGTCACTTAGCTTCATTGAGGTATTTGAATCACAAAGTTATGGAGATATGGATATGTGGAACAAATGGAGACACTTGGACTGGAAGATAATATTAAAATGGATTCTGGGGGAATAGGTGCTGAGTATCAGAACTACACCTAGTATTAGGAACATATCCACTGGGAGGCTACTGAATTTCCTGAGTTAAACTTTTGGCATTATTATAAGACAGCTGGAGCATGAAAGCAGAAAAGTGTTCCTGATAAACAGGGACATTAATGCACCCACAATGCACCTTAATAAAAAGAACGCTGTAAAACAAAAGTTTAAGATGAAACAGAAAACAACTGACTTTAAGTTCAAATACTTAATTTTTATATGTCAGAAGTTCAATCAAACTGCAAACTTAACACACCAAAATATTATTTGTCTGAAATTATTTTACACAATCCATAATTTTGTACGCTAGAATGTACTGCATACAGAGTGAAACACTGCCCATTTAAGTTTTTTGGGGGGGAAGGTGCTAAGCAAACAGGAAACTGAGAAATGTCTCAAACTAAGCAAGTTTACTACCACTCAAATTGAACAAATGAGGGAAAACCCTTAATCAAGAAACAGTACATAAGAATAGCAGCAGCACTTACTTTTCTTAGTATGAACGAGGTCACAGTGTCTGAAGGCTATGACATAGAACAATGTCTGACACACTGTATAGAACACACAGTGGACTCGTACATCTGAATTGATGTACTCCAGCCCATCCTGACTGGATATGTATTTGTGTATCCAAGTAGACATTTCAGATATTGAAGCCTTCAACATGCTGAAATTAAATATTAAAATCACTGTAAGTTACTGAAGTAGGAAGCACAGGTTAACTTGGAACTACAATTTTGAAAAATTAACCTGAAATGTTCATATCAGAAATTAAATTTCAAAAAGAGAAAAAAGCCTTCAAATGCTCATTCACTCCAACAGTGCAATGCTTCACTTGATTGTTAGCTTATTTAACACCACGTTCACTACTGAAACTATACATAGTAATACACGTGATACTAATGGATGCCATTTTCATGCTGCAGGATCTCAGATCCTGTAAGTAAGAGGTCACAGCAGAACAGGCAAAGAATACAGTCCTGAAATTTAAAAATATCATTATGAACACTTCTATTCAATACATATACTTTATTACTTCAATAAATTTATACATAAAATTGTAATATATTAAAGAAAACAGGGTGAATGTCTACTTCAAGAGAGCAGTATATTCAAGAAAACATGGTAAATGCCTGGACAATGTGATAGTAGTTTCCAAAAAGTATCGATGTCCCTCTGATGATGGTCTATAGGGACCAAAACATGTAAGGGTGTTAAGTTTTCAAGTAGTAAAATCTTCAATAGTCATACTGGACTGAGTTTTTTGCCTCTGTAATTGTTAGTGTGATGGACCAGAATAAAACAAATCAAATTCATATACGTTCTTCATGTAAATCACTTTTCAAAAAATGATACAGCTCAGTATAATGTACAGGAGAGTTCTCTGGTACAGAGGAAGAATGAATACAGTGCAACGAATCCCTATGGCTGTTAATTTTGGGTTTCTAGGCTGGAGTCGCTATCTCCTTAAATAGCTCCTTAATTATCCTCATGACGCTGAGCGGACCCCGTTCCAGAATCACTACTTCTCGGAAAATCTGGTAGCGTCAGGAATCGAACTCGGACCTCTGGATCTGTAGCCAGGTACTCGTGACCACTAGACCACGGAGGTGGTTGTGGTTATCACAGGGATATGAAAATAATGAGTAACAATTTAACATTCTCACTGATGTCGGTATTAACTGATCTGAAGAGTTAAAAACTCTGTGAACATAAAGCATAAAAAATTGGCAAGCAAATCAAACAGAACAGTGTTAGCCCATTTCTATAAATTGAAGGCATGCATCGCCTCCTTTCTGGCTTGTCAAGAACGTTGTGATAACATGCTGGTGCATTCTGTGTAAAATTGCACGATAGGATGACATTTATTTAAAATATAATCATCTTCTAACGTCACCTTACTTGAGATCAGCAGCTGACTCACCTGATGTTTATGTAAGATGCCCTACACAGCAGGCTGCCCATGTACATGATTGCTGATTGCCGAACAATGGACGGCACATTGGGAGACACCACTTTATGCCACAGAAAGTTCAGAAAAGTTTCTGCTAAAGTCACCTTGAAGCTACAGATGTAAAACAGAAGGAACTGCACATGATGTGTAGCATGGGTTGACAAGACAACTTGCTCGAACACTGTGACTAGGTCATGGTACAGCCGCTTTGTCCTCTCCCAGTCTAGCTGTCCGTCACCATCATGGCACTCTGAACGCAGATACATAAACACCTGCACCATCGAAATATCCAGATTGTTCGCTATAGGGTGTTTCATACCTACACGCTGGCTCTGAGCAGCTTCTTCATTCACCTCTGCTTCTTCAACGTCCATTTCAAAACATTCTTCAACCTCTTCTTGTTCCAAAACTTCCTCTTTTGGAGCATATACATCCAGTGAAACCAACCTGTAGCAAAAATGCATCTGGCATATCTTAGGACTTTAACACATGAGACTGCACGTCATAATGAATGAACACAAACACTTTTCAGTTATGGACTTGCTGACATTGGAACCTATCGAACAAACTAAATCCTGTCATACCCCTCAAGACTGTAATCTTAATATTCACCGCAAAAACCTCAAATCTCAACTAAAGATATTCCCTGGGTAGGATCAAGAACAAAAGTACCCCTGCAGTCAGACAATGATTTGGTGCTTGCAGTGTGTTTCACTCTGAGGTTCACACCTCATGCTGAAGCCATGTGTATACACAGTGCAACAATAAAGTTCCCGAACTGACACAATTACAGTAATACTACTAACGCCATCTATCGGTGATGAACAGGAATAGTTAGAGAGAAAGACTGTTTATATGACGTAAAGTTTCAACTTATTTGGTTGATGCATGAAGATTACAATTGTTTTGGGGAAGTTAGCTTTTTCACCGTGTCGAAAATTTCAAAATGGAACAAAGAGCAGCAATTAAGTTTCATGTAAAATTAAAGATAACAGCTACTGAAACGTTTGAAATGTTGAAAAGTGCATACAGTGAAGAATGTTTATCAAGAATAAGCATGTCTGAATGGAATATATGGTACACAAAAGCTCAGAGAATGAGAATGCAAAACTGGCAGTTGAAAACAACGCTGGCTGCATTTTTTTATGCTAAAGGTATTATTCATCACAAATTTGCGCTGAAAAAACAGGCTGTAAACTTCATAAAGAGGTGATTAAGAGATTGGTCACTTGAGTTCAGCACCTTAGGCCTGAGTTTCAGGAAAGTGGGTCCTTATATCTTCTGTAAGACTTGTCTCTGAGCTTTTGATGAAACGAGGGATCTCCGTGTTATCCCATCCACCCTACTCCCCTAATTTAGCACCAGCTGACTTTTTTCTATTCACTAAAATTAAAATTGTGATGAAAGGAACAAGATTCAAGGCTTGCTTTTACTGTATTTTCATATTTTAATACCACCTTAGACATACATCAATAAATTAAACACATTCTTTGGTCAGAGACCACAGAAGAGTATAAGGTTTCCTTCTGCTGATGGCAAAACAAACTACTAGTACAATGAAGAAAGCAGTCTTCTGGGATTTGGCACCGTGTATAAGTGGTGTTAACCGACGTTTCGGAGGAACGTATCGCCTCCATCTTCAGGGTAGAAGAAAAAGTATAAGAAATCTGCAAGCGACAAGACCGTGAGAACGGTAAAAGCAGACTGGAAAAAAAAACCACAGCTGTGTGTGAGCAGAGAGGGAAGGGGGGAAGGGCAAGTATACAAGTGAAAGCAGTGGTGTGGGAGGGGTAGGGGAAGGGAGCTGGGG